CATCTTTCAGTGAGCGGCCCACAGCGCCCCCTGCTGCTCATCTTTCACAGCGTAGTCGGGCTGACCTGCTGTTCACATAAATCTCCCAGCTGGCAGTTTTAGAAGGTTTTTTGTTGTTGTTATTTTTGTTTCAATATAAAGTAAACTGCTTATAAGATTACCAACAACCCAGACAGACACAGATGGGGCTGATTCAACCCATACATTTTTACATACTATGTTCACACACGGGCAGCACAGTGGCGCAACTGGTAGAGCTGCTGCCTCTCAGCGAGCAGGTCCTTGGTTCAAACCCTGGTCCAGGGGCCTTTCTGGGTGGAGTTTGCATGTTCTCTCCGTGCATGCGTGGCTTTTCTCCAGGTACTCCAGTTTCCTCCCACAGACCAAAAACATGCATGTTAGGCTGATTGGTAACTCTTAAATTGTCCCTAGGTGTGAGTGAATGGCTATTTGTCTCTATGTGGCCCTGTGATGGACTTGCAACCCGTCCAGGGTGTACCCCGCCCCTGGCACAGTGATTGCTGGACACGGGCACCAGTGACCCCTGTGACCCAAAGTGGAATAAGCAGGTAAAGATAATGGATGGATGACGAGCATTGAGGACTGGAGACAGTATGGGTTCATTCTAAATGATCTGCACAATATTTAATATTACTGTCACTCACAACTCAGTCAGAGTCAGAGAAATTTATTTGTCATTTGCACCACATGTGGTACATGTGGTGGAACAAGATTATGTACACAGGGTCCCAGTTACATCCAACAATAAAACGTAAAAGTAAAACAGCAATAAGATCTAAGATATGAATTAGAAAAACATCAACTAAATATACACTAAGCACTAATAGAATAAAAGCAATACAAACAATACACTGAAGAACAGCAGCATGAACATGTGTCTGTGTGAGTAGATGAGCACAAATGAACACAGCAACATGAAACAGATCAGCAGCAACATGAAACAGATCAGCAGCAACATGAAACAGATCAGCAGTAACATGAAACAGATCAGCAGCAACATGAAACAGATCAGCAGCAACATGATGTGATTTTTCACAGTGATTCTTCTGGTTAGAGATTCATGAGTCTAACAGCCTCAGGGTAGAAGCTGTTCCTCAGTCTAGTGGTTCTACACTTAATATCCTGATGCATGCTCAATAATCCAGGTAGAAAAATCTAAAAAAGTTAAATCTGGTCCTCTGGACATTCGAAAAAACAAAACAAAGCAAAACAACAACAAAAAATGTAGAAACGTTTCGTCTCTCATCCGAGAGACTTCCTCAGTCTGAGGTGCTGTATTCAGCTCAGTCTCTTAAATAGCACCTTCTCAGAGTGGATCAACCAGTTTGCTGCTGACAACCAATCAGCTGATTGCAGCAGCAATTGATCAGCTGGTTTTGGTGCCTGTACTGGTTAAAAATCGGGCTGCTGCATTCTGGACCAGTTGTAGTCGTGCAATGGAGATCTGACTGATACCAAACAGGAGTGAATTGCAGTAATCAAGCCTAGATGTAATGAATGCATGTATTACTGTCTCCAGGTTATTTTTGGATAATATGGGCTTCAGTTTAGACAGCCGCCTCAGTTGGAAGAAACATGATTTAACAATCATGTTTACATGATTGTTAAGTTTCAGGGTACAGGTCCATTATCACTCCCAGATTCGTGACTCTTTGTTTTTCTGACAGGGTTAGAGCGGAGTGGTCAATGCAGTGGTTTGTGATCGTGTCATTGGGAGGGAACAACATGACTTCAGACTTCTTCTCACTGAAACTTAAGAAGTTTAAAGCCATCCAGTCCCTGAAGTCAGCCAGGTAGTCGAGCAGAGGTTGAATAGAGCATGTACCATTGTGTCTTAGGGGGAAGTAAATTTGACAGTCGTCGGCGTAGAAGTGAAAGGGCATGTTGTGTTTCCGGAAAATAACACCAAGTGGCAGTAGGTAAAAAGAGAATAGGAGGGGACCCAGGATGGACCCCTGCGGAACCCCCCATTTAAGCTCTGTCACTGCAGAACTGAAATCCTTGATGGAGACACAAAAGGATCTGTCAGTGAGGTAGGATCTGAACCAATTGACGGCTGACCCTGTGATGCCCACCCACTGCTCCAACCTAGCAATGAGGATCTCATGGTCAATGGTGTCAAAGGCAGCTATGAGGTCCAATAGAACAAGCAACACAAAATCACCAGTATCTGTGGATTTGAAGATGTCATTAAAAACCTTCTATAGGGCATCCTGATGTATGCTCAATAATCCAGGTAGAAAAATCCAAAAAAGTTCAATTTGGTCCTCTTGACATTCAAAAAAAACAAAAAAAAACTAACAATGTGTCTAGATCAGACCACACTTCAGCAAGTGTTGGACGGTACAGATCAGGCATGCTTAGCACAGCATGTCAAGTCCAAGACTCGACAACAAAACAAGTTTAACTTACTAATAACTCATCAACACCATTGCTATTCCAATAACAACACATTCAGTGTAGGACAACACTCCAGTAGTCAATTACATGTCAGGGAGACAGAAAAGTGGGTGAAGAATTTATCTGACAGACAGCTCACCCAGCCAGAGACAGAGATTCTTGCCAGGGGACTGAACTTTGCGGTTGCACCAAGTAGAATTCCTCTGATGGAGATGATCACAGCCACAGAATCAGCTATCCGCAACAACAAAATGAAAGTGGGTGAATAATAATAATAATAATAAACTTTATTTCTATAGCACCTTCCAACAACGCCTTGCATTGACCAAGGTGCTTCACAAGACAAAACAAGATTAAAAACAGGACACAATACATCAGTGCAAATTAAAAAACACAGCGAGAATAAAACAAGGTAAAAGAGATAAAATAAATAAATAAATACTAAACTACTAAAAGTTAAACATTAAAAGCCCTTTTAAATAAGTATGTTTTCAGTTTGGCTTTGAACAGAACCAGATCAGAGATGGCACGCAGCTCATAGGGAAGAGTATTCCAGGCTGTTGGGCCTGCAACAGAAAAGGACCGGTCCCCCCATTGTTTGCACCTTGAGCGTGGCACCTCCAGCAGATTTTGACCAGCAGACCGTAAAGCTCTGCTGGGCTGGTGGACTTTCAAAATTTCTGAAATATAAGGTGGTGCAAGGCCATTCAAAGCTTTAAAAACAAACAGCAGCAGCTTGAACTGTATCCTAAACTGAACCGGGAGCCAGTGTAAAGAAGAAAGGACAGGAGTGATATGTTCATATTTACGTGTGTTAGTCAACAAGCGAGCAGCAGAGTTTTGTACAAGCTGTAAACGGGAGATAGAAGATTGATTAATACCCACATATAAGGCGTTACAGTAATCAAGCCTAGAGCTCACAAAGGCATGGATGGCCTTCTCCAGATCACTACAGCTAAGGAGTGACTTTACTTTAAAAAGCAGACGGAGCTGAAAGAAGCTGGTTTTCACATCAGAACTGATCTGTTTATCTAGCTTTAAGTTACAGTCAAGCTCCACTCCTAGATTTTTTACCACCTGGTTGGCGTGGGGGAGCGGAAAACCTAGACTGGGAGAGATGTTGCATGAATTACTGGAAGCACCAAATAAAATCCATTCAGTTTTATCGTTATTGAGGTGGAGAAAATTCTGAGACAGCCAGTGCTTAATGTCGTTTAAGCAGCTGGCAATAGAGTTGAAACCGAGTGAGGAACTGGGAGTGACCGGCAGATAGATTTGTAGATCATCTGCATACAGATGAAAAGACAGATTATGGCGTGCAATGATGGGTCCTAATGGTAGCATGTAAAGTGAGAAGAGAACAGGCCCCAGAATGGATCCCTGCGGTACACCAGAGGTCAAAGAGACTGAAGAAGAGGACAGATCACCAATCATAACAGAGAAAGTTCTGTCTGTTAAATAGGACTTAAACCACTCGAGCACAACACCCTGAAGGCCAACCTGCTGAGCCAAACGAGTGATTAGGACCTGATGGTCTACAGTATCAAAAGCTGCTGAGAGGTCCAACATCACCAGCAGAACAGGTTTTTTGGCATCAAGGGACAAAAGAATATCATTCTGTACTTTGAGTAGTGCAGATTCAGTGCTATGGCGGTGTCTGAAGCCAGATTGAAATTTTTCAAACAAGTTGTTGTGTTCTAAAAAAGATTGCAACTGAATGAAAACAACCTTTTCCAGAACTTTGGATAAAAATGACAAGTGTGAAATTGGCCTGAAATTAGAAAAAGCTGTAGGATCTAAACCCGGTTTTTTAAGAAGAGGCCTGACCGCAGCATGTTTGAAAACAGACGGGACATAACCTGAACTTAGAGAGCTATTAATAAATGTCAGAAGACAAGGACCAATAACATCCAAGGACTGCTTGAACATCTTAGAGGGAATGATGTCCAGGGTACAGTTTGTAGGTTTCATCTGCTGAACCACCTTAACGAGGTGAGGTAGTGAGACCAGGTGGAACTGATCAAGCACAGCAGAGGTTATTGATGGAGCACATAACTGAACAGCATTATATGTACTGACAATGTTCTGCTTGATAGAGTCTATTTTGTTCACAAAGTAATCAAGAAAACCATCACAGGTAGACTGTGTAGCAGTTTTCAGAACATTGATGGAGGGATTAATGACAGACTGAATGGTATTAAATAAAACCCTTGGCCGGTTACAACTGGTAGAAATTAAATTGGAAAGATATTGTGATTTGGCCTGCTGAACAGCTTTTTGATATTCATGAAGACAGTCTCTCAGTATGTCCTGGGACACATGAAGCCTGTCTTTCTTCCACCTGCGTTCTGCTTTCCTGCAACGTTGTCTAAAAGTCCGAGTGGTACCATTAAGCCAGGGATCTGGCTTGATTTTTGTAGAAGTCTGTCTTAAAGGAGCGATGGAGTCCAAGATCTTTGTAGA